TGAGTACTGGTACTAGCAGATGAGCGGTGCAGCAGAGATGTGAGTGATCTAGCAGTGGTCGTCTTGGGGCAGTTGGATGCGCAGCAGCAGCAGCAGCAGCAGCAGCAGCAGCAGCAGCAGCAGCAGCAGTTCAGCAGTCGCAGTAGCAGTAGAAGAGGTGGCAGTAGCAGTAGGAGTAGGTGGCAGCAGCACTAGTAACACAAGAAACGGTACAAGAAGGAAAAGGCCAAGAAGCAGCAACAGCGGCAACATCTTCTTGTTTACTCAGAACCCGTGACCTGGTAGAGTTTGATTGTCGTTTCGTTTCAAGCGCGACCACACTGTAGTTACTATGATGGCTGTTTTTGCCATCTTACTGTGGGTACGACCACTATAGTTTTCCACAACTACTACTGCAATTCATGTTTGTCGCCATCGTAGTAGTCGTTGCCGACGAGAATAGAGACAAGGCCACGGTGCCAGGTGCCAGCATTGGCCCAAAGCCCTGAGCCTCGCTTAGCACTATGTTGATTAAACCGGATCTTGGGGTAGTCTGCTACGTCAGGCCCTTTACGCTACCTACCGTCCAACGGTACCCCAAATCCTGTGGTGATGCGAATGCAGTATCACAGCCCACCCAAACCGTGTTGTGAAACAACTTCAAGAACCTCAAGAGTCCTGTAAGGCTATCCCCGACAAGTCTCACCTCAGAGCCCCAGAAAGATGATCCTGAACACAAGACTCAACACGGCCTAAACCATGAACCCCTAAGCCCAAGCCCCCGTTGGCACCACTCTCGTAAAGCCTAAACCCCAGCAGAACCCTTTTGAAGGAACCTCTGAAAGCAATCATTTACATGAACCTTTTTAAAGCATAAGCCACCCAAGCTCAAGGCCATTCCCTGCCTGGGCCCTGGGCTATTTGCGAGGACCCTGCGGCCAGCGCAGGGAACTTGGGGCCTTCCCGTAGCAGCAGCAGCCGTGCTAGTAGTAGCGTCGTCGTAGTCGTCGTCGTCGTGGTCGTCGTAGTCGTAGTAGTGGTAGTGGTAGTGGTAGTGGTAGTGGTAGTAGTAGTAGTAGGAGTAGTAGTAGTAGTAGTAGTAGTAGTAACAGCGGTAGTAGCTGTTGTTACTATTGTTGTTGTTGTTGGTCGGGGTGGTGGTGGTCGTGTATTTGTTGTAGGCGCAGGAGTAGGAGTAGGACTGAAAGTGGCAGCCACATCACACCACCTAAGTTTATATTAAGGATACCAACGAAGGAAAGCACTGGCTGTAGCGATAGGCGATCGTAGTGACGTTTTGGGCGATCTCTGGTGTAGACTGAAAGTTTCCGGGAACTGCAGAGAACTGGTCTCGAAGAACGCCAGTTACGAAGAGACATCGAGTTTATGGCATTCAGTGTTTCAAGTGTTGAGGGTTTCAGAGTTTTAGAGCTCAAAGGTCCTAGCTAGGGATTTCAGAGTTTTGGGGCTTCAGGCTTGGCGGCCTTGTCAGGTCCCCAGGGGCTTAGGGCTTTGGGGCTTAAGATTTAGGGACATCATACGTGTTTTGGCGAGGACTCTCCGGTGGCGGGGCGCGGCATAGGCACGGAAATGTCGCGCTTGGATTGGCGTCAGTGTTCTTATCACTACCCACTACTCCTACTTGAACGCTTACCATCATCATCATCAACAACATCATAATCTGTCATGACTATCACAGTTACTTTCGTTGGAAGTATGGTTGTCATGACGATGTGGCGATAGTCATTAGTGCTCTTTTGGACTGCTACTCATGTCGCCATTATCTGTAGTGGTCGTCATGCCCCGGCTGTCAAAGTAAATTATAGGAGCCCTTGTAGCAGCTCGTAATGCAAGCGCTATTGCGCTCCTTCAATAACCCTGAAGCTTGGCAAGCTCAGGAAGTCGGAATGATCGAGTCTGAGCAAACCCGATAACGAGAGAAAGCTGGTGACTGGACGGTTCGCACTCTTTGGCACTGTGAGGCCTGGCGTTCGCCGATATCCTGCCTTTGGACGCCCTAAGCCAGAGACGAGCATCAACACAAGGGCACCTGCCCATCCGAAAAGCCCTCAGGCGCAGAAACTTCGGGACCCTTTTATCATTCTTACGGCCCCCTTTGGAGCATCTTCACGCTAAGGCGGTCTCTTTTGGAAGCCTGCAAGACTCCACCACCTCTGGCCCCAAGCCCCAAATCCTGACCAGTGAGCCCTGCACCCCAAAATCGACCACTCTTACACCCAAAGCTCCTTCGACAGCTCTAAACACTATAAACTCTGAACACTAAAGCCCTGACCCATCAGGCCTGCCCCTCTGCCGGCTCTATGCTCTCTACCTCGGGGGCTCCCTACATCTGATGCGTCTTGTCTTCAGTCATGACGCCAGAAGGTTCCGACAGGGAGGTTCCATACAGATTCCTAGGTGGGCTTCTATGAAATTTCCCAGATGCCTTGTTTTCCATTATAAACCCAGGATGCCGCGGCCCGGACACGAAGTAGATGCTGATGAGGGATGCTCTAAAACCGCGTGTGCTGAGTGCAAATGTTCTCCTGAGTATGATATCACTGTGCATGTCCATCTGCGTGCAAACCCGGCTTTGTGTTTGCCTGCCTGGTTAAAAGCTACCTACCTATCTATGTCGTTTCTGCAACATGACATCTAAAGTTCGGTTTTGGCAAAGCTCCTTCGGATTCCTTACAATAGTACCGTTCTGACTGTGCAAAGGGTGCGGACAATGAGAAGGTCGTGAGCGCAAGAGAAACCGACTCAAGACCGGAAGCCTCTTCATCATGGTAGCATGGTGTGGGAAGGTAGGTGTTATGGGGTTGAGGATCTTCTTAAACCACAGGGCCCTGGCAGAGAGAATGTCGAAGCCTTAACAAATAGGCTTTAGGGGTACATGATACAATTATTTATCATAAGGAACCCCCAAATTAGTATAGGTAATTATTCTAGGCCCCTACATTATGCTCACGCCAACGAGGGAAAAGTCCTCTCTTGGGGGTCTGTAGTAGAGTTCGGACAGCCAAGGACAAGTGAGATTTTCAGACAACGCAGCGACCCTAGTATAGAACCCTCAGCAGGATCCAATAAGATTAAGATACCCTGCATGATAAGGACTGGCTTCTTGTTTAAGGAGCTTAACCCTACCCATCTATAGTAGATATGATGGTCTCCTTACTACGATAGCTTAAAATTACGTTCCGAAGTTGGAGCCCAGACTAATCCCATAAACTCCCCATGGAACCCAAGAGCCCTAGGATGCCGATGCGGCTCTCTCTTCTCGCCGCACCAAAACCCCTTTTTTATCGGAACAGAGCCTAAATTCCCTAGACCATGGGTTTTAACGGTTTAGGGTTTAGGGTTTTATGGCCGAGAGTTTCGAGCTGCAGGGCGTATCTTCCAGCATAAACATGTCGCAGAGCGTTGCGGAGTAGCGGAGTGCTTCAACGTAACGAATCCCCACCGCCGGCTGGAGGAGTGATTCCTACGTCGTTTTAACAAATGTAATATTTATTCATTCCGGAGGTGGCCCGAAGGCTCAAATGTGTCAGGGGAAGAGGGTGGAGACATTGGTCGACGTCGTTGCTCCAGCTCGTCTTTCGAACGATCGGCCCACGCAAGATGGCTTCCAGGACTAGACCGTAAGTCATAGATCACCCTAAGAGCTCCCCCCCTTAATTTCAGGAACATGCTCCCCAAACCCCTAAACCCTAAAACCCTAAACCCCTAAGACCCTAAACCCTAAGACCCTAAGACCCTAAGACCCTAAACCCTAAACCCTCAATTCCCGGGTGTCCGGAGTTTCCGTGAAGTGCCGGTCATGCCCCGACCGGACCAGGAACCTGCCGGGCTTGGGACGCTGGGCAAAACTTACAAAAAGGGAGAGCTCAACTTGGAGGATCATGGGATCTAAGGTTATAATATAGGGGCCTAAAGAAGTACCTATACTATGTTGGGGTTCCTTTATCATATTTATAGAAGAATGGGCCCCAGAACCCTATTCTTATTGTTAAGGCCCCTATATTAAGCACTTTACTTGGGGTTACAACTAGCAAGTGTGGCAAGTTATCTGATTTAGATCCCCGGGCTCCTAAGCCCCATGAGCTTCAAGCAGGAGCCTAACAATTAGAACTTGGTTTGGGCTCCTTTATATCATCATTATAATAAGGAACCTAAGGAATGATATTATTTATTTCAGGCGGTGCAAAGTCCCGGTTGGAACGTACCACATGCAAAAATTAATTCAAGCAGTGAAACTAAATGTAAGCGAAGGCGAGTCCTGCGACAGCCGGGAAATGTTTTCCAACCAGCTGGCGATCACGCCTGCTTCATGAAAAGAAATTGCGAAAGCCAGGGCTGCCGGTTTCCCATCCGAGGCGAGAGACAGGGCAAGGCCAACCCATGCTAGTGTGCGCGAAAGCCATGAGGAGTGCTGTCTGAGAGCACGCAAGGGGCATGAGGTAGGCTCCCAAAGCCCGTTAGTGCGAAAAGGGGGCGCAGGGATAGCAACTTCAATGCCAGAAATCCTCTGGGGGCAGTCAGACCAAGCAGCAACATCAGGGAAAGCAACACGCGTAACCGCATCACACTCCCTTGGCTCAACAGAACCGGCGTTACCGCCACAACCTTGCCCAACCAGAAGAAAGAGGCCCGGTGCACGTGACTCCTTCAGAACCGCCGGTAGCAGCAGAGGAGAGAAGGCCGAATCCTCTTCCGCAGCGCGCGCACGCACGTTCGAAGCAGAGTCGCATAACAAATCAACCTGCATACAGAGCAGCACGTCCTCGGCCCACGACCGCAACTTCAGGTCCGCAAGCTCCGAAATCCAAAATTGGAGTGTCGCCTTAAGGACGTGGAAAGGCTCAACATGGCACTTGACAGCATCGAAAATATCTGTGTCGGAAGCGAAAGTAC